TTGAGTTGATGGCCTCAACTCGACGTGTTCAAAGTCTTTGGGCCGCACATATTTTTGGATCAACTCGACGAGTTGGAGAGGGAAAACTCGACGAGTTGGTGGCTGATTAAGAAAACCTAATTTTTAGGGTGTTGCACCCTATTTAAAGGCCTTATACCCTTTGGGTGGCCTCCTTACCCGTCTCCCCTATCCAGAAACCTTAGTATCGTGTTTTCTCTTCCATATTTGAGTGTGTGTGAGCTTGAAGAGTGTTTTCTTGGTGTTCTTTTGAAGAGCTTGAAGTTAGTGGTGCATATCTTGAAGGGGGAAGATTTAGATCCATAATCTTCTTGAGTTTAGCTGCTCTTCTGAGGTAAAAAGTCGAAAACTTGCTCATCTATTGCGTAGATCTCTTCCTTGGAAGTTTATCGTCATTTTTGGCTCATTTTGGGATCATTCTTGGGTTTGAACATTTCATGAAGTTATTACTTCAGATCTGGACGTTTGGTGTCATGCATGGACGTAAAGTTAGCAACTTTACGTGGTTTCCCAACTATTGGGTATCAGATTTACATTCTTCAGCGTTAGAATGGATGAAAAAGGACTGAATAAGTTAAGCTAGGAAAACTCGACCAGTTACCCTGGCAACTCGGCGAGTTGGATCGGGTTTTCCCGCTTCCCTGGATACTGTAGGAACTCGACAAGTTGTTACATGCACTCGACGAGTTGGGTCAACATGGACTGTTGACCTTGACTATTGATGTTGAATTTGACCATGGTTGACCACGTTTGACTTTAAGGGTATTTTGGGTATTTCGAGTTTTGATAGAAATGGTCACATGGTGGTTGTAGGCTTTTGAGTCCGGAGCTGAGTTTTGCAGTTGGATTTTTCCGGTTCAACACTGCTTGTGAGGTGAGTTTTCCTCACTGTGCTTATGGGTCGAAGGCACCAATGTCGGCCCCTTTTGGATGGTTATCCTGGTAGATAGGATGTTGCTAGGCTGTTATAATCTGTTAGATCTGTATCCTGGTAGATAGATGATGCTATGCTTATTGATCTGTATGATTTGTGATTACCAGTTAATTGACTATGTAATTATGAGTTATGTATATGTAGATGTGTGTGTGTGATTGGGTTGAGGCGGTCCTGCTTTGTGATGTAGGCCAACAAACCCAAGGCGGTCCGGATAGACTAAAGGCCTGCAAGGCGGTCCAGTCAGCCGAAGGCCCGACGAGCGGTGCGATTAGTCTGTAGGTCGTGCGAGGCGGTCCAGCCATGCCGAAGTCTCGGGAGCAGTCCAAATAGGCTGAAGGCCCTGCGAGGCGGTCCAGTCAGGCTGAAGGCTCATTTATACATGATGTGGTATGTTATGTTATGTGGTGGTATTGGGGAAGACTCACTAAGCTCTGGGCTTACAGTTTTTGGTTATGTTTCAGGTGCCTCAGATGATCGCGGAAAGGCGAAGGCTTGATCATGCACCTCCTCGTATTTTGTGTTATGATTTCTGGTAAAAACTCTGATGTGAAACCTATCTTGAAAACAATATGTAATAAATGATGGTTTTTGGACTTATGTTAAAGTTTTAAAATTTTCAAAATTTTATGGATGTTACAGCCTAGATATTACCTTGGTAGAAACAAGAAAATGCAATAATAAAGGTAGGAGATTAGAGGTTTCAACTATGATTTTGTCACGCCCTATTTTGAATCGTTTCATAATTTGGGGCTGTGACCCGAAGATCATCTACCATAAGGCTTCAGGCTTTAGGGAAAGAGAGGTTTGGACCCATTTGGACATGGGTAATGTAGATTATGTGATCCAAGGGTTTGGGTGTACTTTAGAGCCCAAGGGTATAATGGTAAAAATGATGGTTCAGGCCTTTCATGAATTAAGGATTTTAGTTCGAGGTGTTTTAAGTCAAAATTAATTGGATATGATTGTATAGCTCTCCAAGACCTTTCTGTGGATATAAAGATTGTCGAAATCGGAGTTGGTACGAAAAACTTATGACCATTTGAAAGTTATGAGGATTTTGGGCTAAGCCGAGTACGCTGGGCGTACTAGGATCAAGTTTGATCGTGGAAGGCAACCACGTACGTTGGGCGTACGTGGCATACGTTGGACGTAGGGACACTTGGGATAAACCCTAATTTTTAGGGTTTGGATCCTATTTAAACGCTTTATCTTTCTCTTAGACCTTCTTATCATCAACCTTTTTCCCTCTAAAGTCTCCCCACGAAACCCTAGCTTGTTCTTGTGTGTTTTTTTAGCTTTGGTAGTAATATTTTGGAATTTTGGTACTCTTTGAAGAAGGAAGATCTTGGTGGTGAAGCTTTGGTTGGATTAGAGCTTAAAGATCCAGAGTCTTCATCAACTTTGCTAGTATTTGAAGGTATAAAGCTCTTATCTTGATGACTCCAAGTGTTAGATCTAGTTTAGGGCTTGTTTTGAGCTTAATATGATCCCTTGAGTCATCCTTTTGAGTATGAGCTACTCTTGGAAGCTTAGAATGTTAGATCTTAGCTTTTCTGATGTGGTTAGGGCATAAAAATGTCCTCTTGATGGGTTTTGATGAACCATGCAAGAGTTGGTGTCCATATTATGGACTTAGATGGATAAAAATGGGTATTAGGTCCCATTAATACATGCAAAGGAGTAAAGTTGCCAACTTTACGTATTAAGACTTTATTTAGGAGTAGATATGAGGTTTGGACATTATAGACTTAATAGATTAAGTCATTTGGATTGAGAAATGGGAACTGACCGGTACACTAGGCGTACTCCAAAGTACGTTGCACGTACTGGGCTAAACATGTGTATGCCAGGAGTAAGTCTAAGTACGCAAGGCGTACTTGACAGCTGTTGACTTTCGTTAACTTTTGTGGACATGTTGACTTTTGGTCAACTTTTGAGTGGCTTGGACTTATTGGGGGGCAAAATAGTCTTTTGCCCATTCTTGGAATGGTTGAAGTTGTTGACTCGTTCGAGGGGTATTATCTTAGTTATTAGTTAGGATAATGGTTTTGGTTTAATTAGTGTGTGTGGATCTTTCATAGCATCAAATCGTGAGCATAGTTGGTTATTGACTGGTCGAGGTGAGTCTCCTCGGAGTTTTTGGCGGGTCGAAGGCACCAATGTCATTTGATTATGTTATAGTATGATAGATGTCTTTGTGACTCTTGCATGTATTGTATGTGTTTGTATGTATACCGGGCGAGTCCTGATGAGTGTGTTGGGCGGGGCCCATCGCATGTAACAAACATATCTTTAATGGGCGGGGACTGATGAATACCGGGCAAGACCCGATGCCGGGCAGGGTCCTGATGGATTCTGGGCGGGGCTCGTTGTATATATGATATATATGGTATGTGGTATTTTGGGGAACTCACTAAGCTTTATGCTTACGGTGTATGTTTATGGTTTCAGGCACATTGGTTCGAAAGAGAAGGCCCCGACATGATCGCAGCGCATCCACCCATCGTTCTGCACATATATGATTTTGGGGTTGTACACTGATAACTGTTTTTATATGAAATACTTTTGAATGATTGGAAAAAGGATAATTGATGTTTCTGGTTGAATTAAAAATGAAAATTTTCCCTTATAATTTTAGGATGTTACAAGTTGGTATCAGAGCCTTGGTTTGCATTCATAAGGCAACCGACAGTGAGAGTGGAGGTTCCTACCATGGATAGTAGTAAGTACGTTTGGGATGTCCCTATTTTTTTATGGCTTGGAGTGTTACTACACGAATGTTGGTTGCTTTGTGCTCTGTGGAACTCTTGGTGATGTGAGTTAACTATTAAGTGAATATGTTAAGTCACATGCTGCAAAGGTTGGATAATCTCAGAGTGACGGATTTGACTCTGTTGCGCAACTCTCGTTTGAGTCTAACCATTGTAGGGTTGAGTCTTTTACTCGAAGAGATTATCTAAGTTTTTTTTGCATGTGATTGTATTCATGAATTAGTTAGCTGACATTAGTGGGAGTTATTCAGCAGCTAATGACAGGGTGAGGTCAGGAACCTAGGAGAGCCAAGGAAGTGCTTTAGTGGGTTTGGTTACGCTGTTTAGCAGGTACTTGGAGTACCGATGTGAGAAGGTGACTTGGAAGATTTAGGATGAATCTTGAGGAAAGCATGGATAGGTGTGGAAGGTAGTATTAGGCGCATACTATTGAAAGCACATGATCCATACTCGAATCGTGGGGAGTCATGGAGAATCTTGGAATCTTGTGGATGAGAATTTTTCGGTATGTTCTGATTCGTTCCACAGGGGTGTGCCTTGTGGTGTGATGATTTATGGAGGTACTGAAGATGATGATGAACCAGCTGATTGTTTTTTCTTTTTTGCTTCTTTCTTCAGTTTCCTTGCAGTTCGCTCAATTTCTGGAACAAAAGCTAGAGGTGTACATGAACGAAAAATTTTGGGCATAAAACTATTAGAAAGCACCGTTTCCCCGGCAACGACGCCAATTTGTTACGACCAGTTGTCGCACCCGATTTAAACAAATAGTTTTAGTTACTTTTTGTACATGCAAGTGCTAACTAACTTTTTGTAATGACAGATCTTGGGCTCCATATGTTAGTGGATACAAACAGTTTGAAGTTGTGCAAGGCATCGAAAGGTATGATGTTGACTTGGAGAAGAGAGAATGTGGATGCAGAGGTTGGCAATTGACTGGAATTCCTTGTGTACATGCCATATGTGCCATATCTTATTTGAATCTTGATTCATAGGAATATGTTGCAGAGTGGTTTACTAAATCTGCATTTCTTAGGCCCTATAAGTACACCATACATCCCCTGAATGATAGTACCTTGTGGCCCCACATGCCCAATGTTAACCAGATACTACCTCCTATTAGGAGGAGGTTACCTGGTAGGCCATGTGTGAAAAGAAAAAGAGACCAAGCAGAAAATGAACTCGGTTCGAATACAATACATACTATAAGTAGGGCAGGTGTTCAACACAGATGTACAATTTGTATTGAAACTGGACACAACAAAGCTACATGTCCAATGAGAGGTCCTTCTGAAGCAGGTCCAAGTAAAGCAATAAAGAAGAGTAATGCAAAAAACTGTCCTTCACAAGAAGGTCCAAGCACTCCAGCTCCAAGTGCTCCAACACATGTGAGTCAAGATCCTTTGACTCAAGAGCATGTCAATCAAGAGTCTGTCATTCAAGTGAATGTCCCTGTGAATCAAGAGTCTGTCATTCAAGAGAATGTCCCTGTGAATCAAGAGCAAGTGAATCAAGATCTTGTGAATGAAGTACCTATCAACCAAGATCCTGTGAATCCAATACCTATTAACCAAGTGCTTGTGAATCTTGGTGTTAGAGTGCATAAGAGACTTGGTGTTAGAGCAAGGAAGCCTTCAGAGAGAATCAACAAGATACAAATCAGGAAGCAGGATTTTCGAAAGGATGGCAAAGGAGTGACTGAGGACAACCCAATTACTTTAGAGTGATTAGGGTTACTTGTTTTCTTTTGCTTTGGAAGTATGTAATAGTACACTATGTATGGTGACTTTATTTTGTTAATTGGGACAAATTTTGATGTAATTACTACCTTTGCTTGTAACCTAGCAACTTTTGATGGCCTTTAAGTAATGGAATCGGATATGGTATCCTATGTCAATTGTGTTTTGTCTTTTTCAATCTTTATTGGTATTAATGCATTAGTTTATTAAGAATCTTGTTATAATGGGAATCATATGTCAATTGTCTACTGGGAATCATATTTGTTTCTATCAATGTCCTTGTCTTTTGGTTGTTGAAATTGCAGCCAAATTCAATTATCAATGTCCTTGTCTTTTGGTTGTTGAAATTGCAGCCAAATTCAATGTAAATTACATTCAAATGTGTATCATGTAACATTTCATTCAATATGCAAACATCATTCAATACATTCAATACAAACCATTCAATACATTCCATATAAACCATTCAATACATTCAAACTACCAAAATTCAATACATCATACCAAAATCTATTCAACTATTTTCAGATAATATTACAACTGATTTCAACCCTATAACTATGTGCTTTATTCTTCAGCTCTTGAACTTCTTTCTTCAAACATGCAACATCCTCTTTAACTGCTTCAAGTTCTTGTTCTAAATCCGGATTCCCAGTCACAGGTTCATCAATCCATTCCCAATACTTACACTTCTTACCTGGTTTCTTCGAAATCAAATATAAAGATGGTAAGAAGCTCAAAATCTTTATTTATTAGAAGGAAAATCAAAAGTACAGAGGGAAATCAAGATCGACATACCAGAGAATTGGGGCAAACTTTGAACTTTTTGTTAGGGTTGTCTTTAGTCTTGGATGTGCATATTCGATCTGGGAGTCGACAATCACAAAGCTCCTCTTTCTTTGTGATGGAACCAGATAAACTGGGAGTCGACATCTTCTTCTTCGATTTTGGGTATGGGTTTGAAAGTTTTTTTTTGATTGAATTTAGGGCTAGGCATCGTATTATAATCAATGTAACTCAGAGATGATCTACGTAGGAGTGTTTTCTTTTAATGAGTGTCCACATAGGCAGCCATGTCAGCAAATATGACATCATCCGGTAATAAAGATTTAATTTACACACAACAACAAGTTCAAAGGTAAAATGTGGACAAAAAAAATTCAATGACTAAATGTGTCCAAAACCAATAATATATTACTCTTTTAAGTCATTATCCTTATTTTTCATCCATGCTATTCGTTATTCTCCATATTTTTTTATCCAATTAAAATTTAAATGGAATACACAAATAAGCGCTAACAATTTACATTTAGTTTATTTAAAATTAAACAAAGACATTCTATTTATCTCTTTTTATTGTGGATTTAAGCATCCATAATAAGATAATTTTTTAAAAAGTATTTTTTATAAAAAAGCTTAATGTTCTTATATTTATTAGGAATTTTTTAGAAATTGATACTAATACAGATCTTTCACAAAATGGTCTTATGCTTCATAAAGTTTCAGAAATGGTCCTTGTGGTTCATAAAATAACAGAAATGGTGCCCTTGTTTAAAACATGGGCCCTACATAATAGAAAAGTTATATAAATTGTCAATATATTTTACAAAATTATAAAAGTGTTTCCTACCTAGTAACAAAATAACATAATGGTCCCCATATTTCACAAAGTTATAGAAAATGGTCTCTAGGATATGCCAAATTTATAGAATTGTTCCTCGTGTTTCACAAACCTTATAGAAATAGTCGATGTAAGATAACATTATATAAATTGTGTCAAAAATGTAGGATTATTACACTTGTTGTAACGCCCGAGCCATCCCACTAGTTGATTTTTATATTTGTGTACACATAACACCTATCCTAAACAACTATAACGGCTACATTAACTAAATACCTTTTGTTAAAATATTTATTTGCCAAACAATGACAATATTATGGACCAAAAAATAATTAGGTCAATGATTAAAATAAATGACATTAAGATATAATATTGAACGAAATTCTCTTAGAGTTTGTTTGATAAACTCTGAATTAGTAAACATTCAACGTATTTGATACACCAGTTAAACGAATCAAAATCCTATGAATGGTTAAGAGGCCTTACATTCTCTAAACTATTAAGAGATTGAAATCATTAAGACATTGAAACCATTCACCGCTAAATGGTTCAGTTTATCAAACGACCACTTACTATGAATAGATCTAGACGAACTTTACCATATACACATACATTCATACAAGGTTTTGTTGGATTAGTGTCTAAGTCCATAACTATTTTGGTATGTACTTGACCCGATTGTGAGCGTGGTCCTTTTGGGTTGCCTTCACCATAGCAATTTGTAGGATGAATTAAGGAGAGAAAGGTTTAATTATGATTTATTAATATATTATGAGAATAATATATTAAAGGAGAAATCATATAGTTTAATTAATATTAGTCAAGAATTAATTAAGAATTAGTTTTGTGACTAAAAGAGATTAATTAAATTTAGGGGACTGGAGTTGTAATTATAAGATAATTACAATTGGGCTATGGATCACCTAATAATATATAGGTTGGACGAATTCTATGGGAAGCCCATAAGGAATTCGTCCAAGGGATATGTTAAAGGAGTCCATGGGCTGCTTAGGGCTTAAGCAGTCAGATTAGGGTTTCCTAGCTGTAAACCCTAATAGCCTACATGTATATAAAGGACCCCTATACCCCAAAAACGTGGCTAAGTGTTCATTTAGGGTTTCCAGCCGTTTTTGGTGCCTCCCCTCTCTTCTCTCCTTCATCCAATTGTTTAGTGGTGTTTGTGACTCCATTAGAGGTGCAACACTTGAGGCACTAAGCTTTCTGAAGCCAATCAAATCAAGGAATTGATTGTTATTTCTATATAACAATCAAAGGTAATTACTAAACCCTTATTTCAGTTATAGTTTATTAGATCTAGGGTTTATGGCTTTGGATTATCAATTGCATGTTCATTAGACAAACTAGATCCAAAGCTATTAGGGTTTGCATGTACACCATAGGATTGATGTATTGCTCAAAACCCATCAGTGGCTATTAGGGTTTGCATGTACACCATAGGGCTGTTTGTTAGTGAATTTGATGCTTATTTGATCGAATTTTGGCTGAAAATCGATTTTTTTTAAGGTTTGCGACTTGACTCGCCGAGTCAACTGGGTGACTCGCCGAGTCCATAGTGAACTCGACGAGTCCAAGCCTGACTCGACGAGTCAGAGGTTCAGATGGAGGATTTTTCGGGTTTCTTGCCTATTTTTGCTGTGGGATAATTACCAAAACGTTTTTTATTGATAGAAATCGGATTTTTATGATATTGGGTGATTATCTTTGCCAAAATAAAAGATAATTTCATATTAATTGAATAATTACTTCCTTATATGATTAAATTTAATTATTTGAAATATTTGGTGTATTATCTTGCAAGAAATTAGACTAGGTCAAAACTATATAATTCCCTTATTTGTATTGTTGATCTAGAATGTTCTTGACAAAGTTTGAATAGTTTCAAATTACTCCCTTTAAGTTTTATAGTTTAAGTTTGAACTTAAAAGTTTTGTTTTTGAAATTTAAATAGTTAAACCCTAATGTTTTGAAATGTTTCAAAACTTGCCCTCAAGTTTTGGAATTTAAAAGTTGATTAAAAGTTTAATTTTGAAATGTTAAATTCTAAAAACCCTCGTATTTTGAAAAAGTTCAAATACACCCTTATGGTTTTATTTATTAATTAAGGTGTATAATTAAAGGAGATTTTATAAACCCATAAAGTTTTGGTTTACATTTAATTAAAATTAAAAGTATAATTTATTAAATTAGACCACCTAGTATTTTAAAAGTGTAAAATACACCTTATACTATATATAACATTAAAAGTCTAATATTATATATATGTATGAGTAAACAGTCAGTCTTACCGTTAGTAGGCCTCATTCACGAAGCTGGTCTATAAGGGGTGTTTAAGGAAATTGCCTATAAAATGGCGATTGAATGGGTATCCACTCTTACCCACCGCACTCTTGACTAGTGGAGGGTCGTTAGCCGAACGGGTAGGATAGGACGAAACCTTCCATTATAAGTATAATGAAGTACAAAGTAACTACATGCTTTTACAAATTCCCAAATTCTAGTTACTTTAGGCAAAATGTGAAATTGTATGCTAATCCATGGAATTACACTTCGTACCCTTGTCAAACATTAGTGGAGCGTGTGTGGTTAACCGACACACTAATTTGGGGTTGACATTGGTAGTGAAGGGTGGCTCGATGTTTATCATAAATCAATGGAGTGTGTGTGGTTAACCGACACATTGATTAGGTGATAGTATCATTGAGTGCATCAAGTAGATTCGTATGGTTATTCACACCTTATTTGTGATCCTCAGCATCCCAGTCACAAATAGAAGGGCATAATCGAGATTAAACATGCCATTGAAAAGTTCAATGAATCTCAAAAGATCTAGGAGTTTCAATTCATTTAAAACTTAAACTTCATTTTTTTTTCATGGTGGGAATTGGTAAATCGTCATTTACCTAACTTCAAATATTCTGCAACTAGATTACGACATCCCTCTTCTAGGTTGTAGAGTATTGTGTTGGATCCTAGCCTTGATGTTTCTTTTGGGTGTTACATCAAGGATTCTTATCAACTAACTTGAATTTTCTCCCGTTTTGTAGATGTCTAAATCTTACAATGGTCTTCCCACGTCCCTTGGAACAAGCTTTCCAAATGAAGATGACGTTCCACGATACGATCAAGGAAATGAGAGTCATGCTTCACTTCCTCCACCTCCTCCAATTATTCTCCCTAACCCACAAGTTCAAAGGCTTGAAAAGTTCAAGCTCACTCAAGCCCTATTGGCAAGTAAACACGAAGATGGGAAACCTGTGTGTGCACACGTCTTGGAGATAAAGTCACACATTGATAGGTTAAGGATGATGGGTGTCGATATCTCAGAGATGTTGGCTGTTGACTGGGT